AATCAGTGGAATAAGTGAAAAGCAAGGCCGAATAATAGCGGTGTGTTTTGATGACGCAATCAAACAGCGTGCGGTGACGGACGGAGTAAAATGTCGGCAGTGTGGCGATATTTTACTCCGTCCGTCACTGCACTCGCATTTGCGACTAAAAATAGTTTTGTGCAGGCAAAATAAATCATTCAGCACGCTGTGTGAGTACAGATTTCAACCAGCAGCAGAAACGAAACGGCAAATCCCGCCAGTTGTGGGTTGAACGAGGGTCACAGACACGGACAGGAATACGTATTCCTGTCAAATACGGCGGCGCATGATAACCGCTTACCGGGGACGGAGAAGTCTGGCTCCAGGTGAATAACTTTTTGTCATGACTGCCCAAAAGTACCTGAACAGCCGAGCCATGGCGGCACACAGTATGTGGCGTATCAGAGGAGAAACGAGCCGTTCACATTTCTCTTTGTGGCAGGTAACGGTCCACAAACCTCACTGCACTTAGGGACTGTTCTTTACTTATGAAGGGATGTGTCAGGGGAGGAGGGTGGCTGGTTGAATTTTATTTTATTTATTTATTTTATTTTGATCCCCCCTATGTTAATCACTTATTGATGCTGTTTTTGAAGTATGAATAAGTCAGTAAGTAATTTATTCAATTGAAATATCATTGATGTACTATAGAAAAGAGATTTATCTTTTTATAAATGACAAAAGGCACATCTGCCTCATTTTTGCTGTGGTATCCTGATACTACTCAGAACCGTGATACTTTCATTGGTATCGTACCATGGGTCCCAATTTTGGTACCGTGACAACACTAATCTGGAGGGGGTTCATCTGCAAAAACTAATGAAAAACTAAAAAACGGCATTTGGTATTCGGTACTCGGTATTCGGCCAAGCATTTAATATTATTCAGCTTCGGCTTCGGACACAAATTTTCATTTCGGTGCATCCCTAATTTTGGTCCGAGTTTGAGAAAGAAGGGTGGGTCAGTGTCTTGATCTGCGTCTGTACTCCTGTAGTTGGAGCAACAGCCCAGGAGCCAGCAAAACTCTACTAGATGATGTAAATTGTGTCATGCAGCAGAGTTTCGCCAGGGGGCAAGGAGGGATTTCCAGGCACTGGTCAGATGGAGGGAAGTTGACCACAGTTAATTTACTCATGCTACCCATATTGTTTTGATATAAAGCTGGTTGAAAATTTCCTTTCCGTGACATTAAGTTGAAGTCCTGCCTTTGACATCCTGCATCTCTCTCTCTGTCCCTTATTTCTCCTCACACTCAGCTGTGAAGCATGAATGCCAAAACACAGACATTTCAACTGGGCTTAAGTTCATTTCGGACCATGACCGGACCATGGGTTTATGGTTTTGTGTGTGTTGGCACCACAAGGTGTGGCAGGGGTGTGTGTTGTGGACTGACCATTTCAAGGGTAAAACCTGACTTTCTCCTCCGTTCACAGCGGGAATGTGACATTGACAAAGTGTTTGCGCTGCCGCCTCCTTCTTACCAGCTCACAAGGGAGCACATGCCAATGTCCACTTAAGTGCCAAGTGGTGGCTGGCCCTGTGTGTGTGTGTATCTGTGTGTATGTGTGTGTGTGCAGCAAGCTCTGGCCAAAAGGTTTGTTTGGGCAAGTGTTGGCAGGGCTGGTCACTCTTCCATTCCCAGCCCTAGAGCCAGTATTATACAGTTCCCACGCATGTTACAGCTGATACCAACCCCTTACACACACACACACACACACACACACACACAGCCAATGCATATATACACACAATCTATAATATTCACACTAACCACTGGTGCTGTGTGTAAACACAGAGGCCTGTTGACACTAAAATACAGCTTTGCAGATTACCCACCCTGAGTCAAGCTGTTTGCTAGCCGGTAAAATATTAGCTTTGGATTGGCGGCTGTCATGAGCTTAGAGGACAGACAGTGTCAGGTGTGTATGTGTGTGTGTGGAGGAGATTCACAGTAATCCCGAGGATATGAAGTAATGAGTATACAAGCATGCACATTTGTGTTTGCATGTGTTTGCGGTGGGGCCAGTTGATGGTTGTCATGAAATGGCCAGTCACGCAGGCACCCTGTGGAATGGGTAACCCTAGACGAGGGTAGCCCCAGCAGGGAGAGTAGACAGTTGGCCCTGAGGGGGGCGAGGATGTGTGGAGTGCATAGAGAGGTGAGACAACGCCTCAGTGTAGCCTGGAGCAGCTGTCTGTCGACAGAGCAAATATGCAGATACCACACTCGTACCTGCTCCAGCTACCACTGTAGTGCTCTGCTGCTGCGGCTGCCTCCTGGTGATGGATACTGTTGGCAATGGATGGAGTTGTAGACACAAGTAAAGATAAAGCAGACAACTTTATTTGCTGGGCTCTTCATCCATATTTTGGCAGCTTGTTCGCCTTCAACAGAAGCACCCAAATATAACACTGTATTATTTCACAGTAGGCCAGTGGTAACTGTGACTCCAGAAAACTAAAGAAAATGTTTGTTTCTTGTTTTGTTTTTTGTTTATACCCCAAAACCACGTTTGAGCCCATATGTCAAAAGATGTAAATGCAGTACTGAAAACTTTTGGTGCACGCTGAGCCAGTATAAACAATTGACTTATTTGGAACGTGCACTTCTGATGCTTCAAATCTTTTACCCAAGCTTGACTCAAAAGTATTTTAAAGAAGCAGTAACGGTGTAAAAGTTCTGATCTCAGAACAGCACTTTCCATTAGTTAACCACAGTCTTGAGTGTTCAGTGACCGTACAAGCCGAAAAAATGGCACACCAGTTTGATTTTGTGCAGTAGTGCAGATTCAGCTGATTTGCTTGGACTTGAGGTCCGAAATTAAGACCAGACAAGTGCTAAATGCGGATAGAGTTTCTGTCTGGCTTGTAATTGTTTGTACCAAGATAGTCATGTCATAAAAAAAAAACATGCTGAGATTCGCTGCTGCATTTTGGTGTCACTTCCAGGTTAGCTGCTCATGTCCTGTCAGTATTGGAGTTTGAGGCACACACATACCACCACACATGCATACACCAGACATATGTTTTACGTGTGTTGCACTGTGAAACTAACCATCTTGAATGCTCACTAGTATGCCTCACTGTTTACTGTATGGAACTATCACTTGCCGCCGTCTGCTGCTGCTGGCGAATATGAAGCAGAGGGTCGTAAGTCACACCCGTATTTATGAAGGGAATAAAATAATTACATGGAGGCTTTGTAGTGTGAACCAAGAAGGTAAACTCGTCATTACCTCCCACATTGTCATTGGTAGCAGATTACAGCTTCAATCCTTCCATTGTTACCTTTCACAATAAAAGCCCTATAAAAGCCCCATAGAAGCCTTTGTACCAGAGGGAACTTGGTCACACACTGAGGCTATGGTGATGAGTTCGATATAGTAAAATAATTTTGCGTAACATTTTGCTCTGACTTCTTTGTGACATAAAAATGGCCATATTTTAGTAAAATATCCTTGGTCAGTGGATTTTTTCATCTTTGCTGGTGAGTCAAAAAGTAAATTTAGGACACTGCTTGAGCTGCTAGGAGAATCATTTTGGCAAATTTCCATCAGGTTTGGTATCTGTGCCTTTCCACGCTTTGAACAACCATGATCACAACCTGTAAAGCAGTTACGGTTGCAACTGTATTTTGGTAGCAGAGTTGTGACACAGGATATAGATGATGACCAGTTTGCATAGAATCGTAGCTGTCGGGGCCTCTCCTCATACTGGAAGCATTCTCAAGGCATTGCCTGAATCCCAACACAATGGCACTGTATACAAAGTAGTTTAAGTGGTTGATGCTGTCACTTGAGGTGATAAGTCCAATGATTTACTCATCAGTTTTCCATCAACATAGCCTATTGTTCCCAAACACAAACAGTAGCAGGACACCAACAACTACAGTCCTCTCCTGTTCACTCTCCATATTGCACAAGGCATGCTTACTCTGTCTTTGCCGTGCATTCGGTCAGTTCTTATTTTTCCGTGCTTTTTGTTGTTTCCTTAGCACATATTGTGTTTGAAAAAATCAGCATGAAACATCCAAATTTAGATTTAGGTAAACATTGATTGAATCAACTGTAGCTGCTTCTTAGAAAAAGTCCTCTTGTGATGCGGCTGTCAGAAGTGTTGAGATCATTAGATTGATCTTGCAAAGGAAAAAAAAAGTAAACTCAAAGATGTGATACAGGTGAATAGATTGTTACGATAATATATCAAATACTCTGACACTGCAGAATGGTATTGACTTGTCAAGGGTTGATGGGCCACATCTGCCCTGGTTATTAGTTTTACTAAATCCAATTCAAATTCAAATTCATTCAAATTGCATTCACCTGCTGACGTCAGATCGGGGAAGTCATTTTTTTTTTTCACTCTATACATTTTAATCTTTGTGCGTTTTACCTTTGTCTTGAGACGGACTTTGAAAGGGAAGTCAAAATGTTACAGAAAACTTATCAGGAGGGTGGAGAAAATTTTTTTTGGATGGGACCCAAAGCAATTTCACTTAATGGGAAACTGTTTGTGTGCGTGTGTGTGTGTGTGTGTGTGTGTGTGTGTCTACATAACACGTGCTTTTCTCACATGACTGATAGCAGTGGTGTAAGAGCCGTATCAGGCTGATGATATGGAGCTGGAACATATTTATCAGTGTGGCAGTTTGCACACACACTCACTCTCACACTTACACACTCTCTCTCTCTCTCTCTCTCTCTCTCTCTCTCTCTCTCTCTCTCTCTCTCTCTCTCTCTCTCTCTCTCTCACACACTCACACTCACACACACACACACGCACACGCACACACAGTAGATTAGAACCAAAATAGCAACATTATGTTGTGTTTTTGAGGTGTGTGTATAGGGGACATGTAGTTATGATACCACCCACATCAATTCTGGGACCTATGATGTCATTGTAATAATATAATTTGAAACATTGTATTGGTATAAACGTTAGACAAATGTTGATGATGTTTCTTTGTGTTTGTTCAGAGACGAGGGGCCATTTCCTATGACAGCTCTGACCAGACAGCACTGTACATTCGTATGCTAGGTAAGTGTTTCCCCACTCTCAGTCCGTACACACACACACACACACACACACACACACACACACACACACCCAGGCATTTTCAGTTGACACACACACATACACACACTTTCCATACATCAATAGGTTTATCTCCTACATGGCCATGTTAATTTCTTTATACACAATGGCTTTTAATGCAGTGAGATGGAAAATGGATGGACAGAAATGCATGTAGAGATTAAGAAGAAATGGGGACGCCCTAGAGTGCATGTCCACTCATTTCCCAGCATTTTGGTTAATCTCTCAATCTGAATAGGCTTAGACTGTGTGTATATGTGGTGTTGAGTGTCTTTGAAGTTTGATCAGGTTTGCTAAGAGTACAGAATTTCATTTTAACCCTCAACGGACAAAGGGTTCATTAGCAGAGTGTGTTTTTTTAGTGTTTATGTGTCTGCGTGTATATACTGCATGTGTGTATGTCTATTTGCCCATTGCTTCCCTCAGCAACCCTAAGCGGGATAAGCAGTTTAGAAAATGGATGAGAGGACGGAGGGCTCATAGCTCTGCCAGGCAGATGGAGTCAAATGCATCTAGGAAGCAGCCAGAGAAGCTTCCTAATCAATAAGGCTATTGAGGATAATGGTGCGATTAGAGTCTGGGTGGACCCCTGACTTCAGTCTACCCCACACAGATGTGCCCTTGCATGCGTTTGGCTGGTACGGAGCTCACAGCGAAAAAGAAAGAGAGAAAGTGTTATCCTGTCAGTGTCGTTCATACGTAGATATCAGATTGCTGCTGTGAAGCACGGTGAGTAGGCAGGGAGCATTAAACAGCAGGGGCAGTTTAGGGCTTACTGAATGCTTTGTTGAAATCCTGTTTACTATAGCTTTCACGTAATATTGCTATACACTGTTTCTCTTAAGCTTGATAATGCCCATGACTCGACTGCTGCCACGTGCTTCTAGTCACAGTAACAGTGATTTATCGAGCTCACTGAAGGAGCTTTAGCTTTTTAATCATTTTACTTGGCCAAGTATGATGGCAGTCTCATACGTCACCCGCATAAAGCATCTGTGTCTGTAGATTTTATATTAAATTGAGTGTGAGGAGAGGCACGCTAATGCAGACTGGTGTTTGCCTGGGCCAAGGTTCAGTCTGCCAAGTTAATGCTGATGTGCTTTCAAATAGCAGGACTCAGAGCTTTCGCCGCATCAGTTATAATGACATGACCTACATCCACCCCAGAGTGCCAGCACTAATGCACCGCAGGGGAAACATGGACCCCATGACTCTGAAAACACACTAATCACACAGGCACTCACACACGTGCCGAGCCTTAGCACATGCATCTGCAGATGTGACAGATGTATATACATGTGGGCACACACACATACACGCACACTCACTGCCTAGGAGTGCATGAATGTAGTGTTTTTTTAAGTCCTCATTTATGTTTTGCATGTCAAATGCCACTGATACGGTTTCACTCTCCACATTCATACCAACAACTTTACAAGCAGCTTTTCAAAATAATGTTGAGCGCCATTATGCCTTGAATTGTAATTCTTAGTTTTTGGTATTTTGATAGGAGCTTGTGTAGTATTCAAACAGCTGTTTGCAAGTAAGTAACATGCTGGTTGGTGGAACACACCTGTGTGACTGCTTTGATTTTAATTCTAATGCACATACGACACAATCAGAAGTGCCATGCTGGAAACATACCATTGCACTGTTTAGCACCTTGATGAGTATACTGCCATATAGAGTCTTGCCGCATATAGAGTGTTGCCTGGAACGACACACTAGCATTTTATTGCATCAGTGTCATAGCACCATCCTGTCACCTCACTACGCTCTCACTGCTCCTGACTGCAGTCTACAAGCAGGCCGGCCGCCGTCCTTTTGGTCCGAGTCTGGAGCCTGTTCCTGTTCCTCTGCCTGACTACTAAAAACAGTCATAGATGTACTATAGCTCCCTCTCAGTGGCTCTGAGTACTAATAGTAGAGCAGAATGTCCTGACATGGCATTGCATGCTCAGCTGTTTGATTGACTTGTCTGTCCACTGAATTTTCTCTTCTGGGATGTGAGAGTGTGTGTTTGTGTGTGACTGTGCTCGCACATGGATAGTATACATCAGATTTGGGTCAAATAGTATTTACAAAATCACATCTTTTGCTTGTTTCAGTTTGCTTGGAAACAATGATGAGTTTTACCACATTTTGACATTAGAGTTGAAGTCCTGCCTCACTTTCAGTGCTTGGTATGAGACAGACTATTTCCTAATTGTCATGAAAAGCTGGAACATGATGGTCAGTAGGCCCTCCAGTCGCCCTCAGTATTGCCTGTTGTGTTTACATGCGGGTTTGTTTACATAAGGATGTCACCAACATGATGCCAGAATAAACATTGTAAGACTTGGGAGCATCGATTCTCCCTTTTTCTACTTGCGTGAGTCAGAAAGAAAATAAAACACTTCAAAGATGGTGCAGCGTAGCTTACTGGTAGCCTGCAGCTGCATTTTGGAGTGGAAGAGTCATAGTCCTGATAGTCGTTAGCTTGCCAACCTCCACAAATGAGGTAAAAAGTCCATCATTTGTATTTTTACCTTGCCAGCACACCGGCCCGGTTATTGAGGTAACTGTGGCGTTCCGGGGGGCTTCGCTAGCTTATCACAAGAGGCATCACTTGTTTTAGTTTCTGTTGACCACATTTTGTATCAGGTCTCAAACCGAGTAATTTTTGGCTACTTCTATAAAGATAAGATAAAGCTAAGATAATTTTTAATTATAATTATTTCTGGAACAAAATATATTGTCCAGCAACAGAGTGATCGTTACAGGCCTAGTCAGTTAAAAAAAAAAGGATGTATTATTTTGTTAGCATTTAACAACTACAGCTCCCATGAGACTTTGACAGTGATTCTTCTGGGTAAGAATCAAGAGATATATTGCTGTTGAATTCGAACAAATATCTTCAAAATGAGGTATAACTCAAAAAATATGTATTCATTTAGCACTTTACAGTTACAAAACATTTTAAATTAAGGGCATTTAGCACGAAATATCAAATATGCGGGATGCTAACAAACAGAAAAGCAACAAAATACAATTTATAAAACCGAAATAACATCAACAAAAATAGCAGTCAAAAAAAGGAGGATATTAGTGAATTGTAGATTCTTGTTTAGCTTAGGATATTGCTAAAAAAAAGAATCACTTTAAGGTTTTTAGAAGAACTGATGATAAAAACCCTCTGTGATGGGATATATACTGTCCAGCTGTGGCTAGTGGAACAGAGGCAGGATTTCAGCTGTGTTGGGACTTGTACATATATTCGCAATTGTCTTATTATAGTGCTCTGTTCATTGTCCTGTGGTAAAGCTCACCCTTGTGGCACTTAAGCAAGATCAATTCCAGTATAAAATCAAAAAAGATTTGTAAATACTACTTAGCTCAGCACATTCAGACACATTTCTTTTCAAGCAACATGAATCTTGAGGAAATAAGTGCTGATTTCTTCTAGGAGATGTGAGAGTGAGAAGTCAGGTTGGATTTGAACCGGAACGAAGAAGCTCCCACCCATACCTGTGCATCGACTTCCGAACTCTTCACAGTGAGTATGAATCACAGTCCATTACCTTGACTCGCTGGCCTCTTTGATAACGAGACATTATCACATTGTTGGTTCCTCTCCAGCAGGACAGATGTTTGTGAGCTGCTTTCATGCAGTATTTCACATGATGATAAAGACCAAGGTGTGTCTTGGTGTAAACCATGTGAAAGGCTTTTTATCAAAGCGCTGTGAGTGGATGTGTGATTAATAAGCACTTTCATACTCATTGAAACCTTTTAGAAAACATCAAACAGTTAAAGAGAAGCATTGTGTGTGTTGACATTTTGACCCAAAAGTAATCCTACCTCATGCTGACGTGTTTCCGGATCGCAGCCATGGTTTATTCAGACACAGTGCTCTTCTGTGTGTGCGTGTATGTGTGTGTGAGAGAGAGAGAGAGAGAGAGAGTGTGTGTGTGTGTGTGTGTGTGTGTGTGTGTGTGTGTGTGTGTGTGTGTGTGTGTGTGTGTGTGTGAGTGAGTGAGAGAGAGAGAGAGAGAGAGTGTGTGTGTGAGAGAGACCACTGACAAAGCATGTCTGCTGTGTGATCCCAGACGAAAGGCTTATGAGTGGGCGGCTGTGTCAGCAGCGACTGTTTGTATATCTCCGTGTTGGTGTCAGATCCCCACCGACTTTGTGCAACCCAAATGATTCTCAGAGCCTAATGAGCTCGTAAAATAAACATTTACCCAAACAAGTTATATTTTACATATTACATCTTTTGTCAATGTTTGTGCATGTGTGTCTGTGTGTGTGTAGCACGGCTGGGCTATGGGTCCACGTCAACAAGCTTTGCTCCTGAGAGGAGGGTCCACAGACTGCTCAGCTTCCAGAGGTACCTGCACTCATCCCGTCTGCTGCGGGGAGTCCCCCAGCAGATCCCCCTCCACATCCTGGATGAAGACTACACTGGACAGGCCAGAGTATGACACCTAGCTTTATTCATTTCATTTATTTGTATTCTTTTTTTACTTTTGTGTTTCAAGACACATCATCTCACGTACATATTCCGATCTTACATCTACAAAGCACGCACAAAAAGTAAAAAGGAAGAAAAGAACATGAAACTCAAAGTAAAACCAACACCTCAAGTGAACTGTTCACACAAGAAACTACCAAATATTTGCAGATTATCTCGATAAAGAGCTTTTTCTTTTTTCTCCCAGGCTTTCTCAAGGTAACCATATTCACCATATGTGAACAGCCATCTCAGTCTTTGTTCATCCACCACATCCACAAAATCAATACCTGTTTTTATCTTACCAAACAAAGTATCACACAGTTCACATTAATTTATATAATGATATGATAATAAGACTTTTTTGTCAGACTTCACATCACTAATGTGGTGCTTCTCTTTTCCCTTTTTCGTAGTGCATGCTGGAAAAAGTCGGGAACTGGAATTTTGACATTTTCCTCTTCGATAGGTTGACGAACGGTACGTAAAATATGGTCTGAAACACTGCTGAAGTTTTCTTTCGCATTGCACCTGGTCATGTACAAAGCTCAATACATTTTGGCACGACTTCAGTGAAGTCATGACAAAACTTGTCGGATTCGCTTTTCTATTAGACCCACAGATTTGCCTACTGGGGAACATTAGTGCTTCTTTACAGAACTTTCAAAAGAGGTTTTTGGAAATAGCTTTGAGCATTGCCAGGAGGTGCATAGTGGTGACGTGGAAGTCTGATTCCCATCTTCCCATAGCCAGGTGGTTTTTGGAAATGAACAGCTGCACTTGAAAAGATCACGTACACTCTAAGAAATGAATACAACACCTTGCTGAAATTTTGGCAGCCCTACTTGACCTATATTGATACTTTACCAACACCTCTATCAGATTTGTCATAAAGAGGATACCAGATTGATACACCGTTGGTCTTCTGATTGAGCCACGATTATTTATATTGCCTCTTATTTTATGTTGTATTAATTTATTTTTCTTGATTGTTACCTACTCTTTTTAAGCTAGGTCCTCTTTTGGTTTGTATGCATTAAACCAGCCTTAGATTCAATGTGTTACCAATGGTGCCATCTATTGGATGCCAGCCGACAGAGGATTTACTGAGTGAATATTACCTCTATAATTGAATCATTGAATTTTATTTTGTATTTAGGCGTCAGTTGCCTCTTGAAGAGGATGCGAAAATATGTTGTTAATTTTCCAACACAGCTGTTATGGGAGTTTGATGACAGTCGTCAAAGAGCAGCAGCAGCTCTTCATTTTGAACCAACATTCAGCAGTCATTAAAGGAACCATAATGAATTAACTAATACATATTTCTGCACTGACAGGATTCTCAGTAAATAAGAGCAAGATACTGTGTGTTGTACTATGAATACGAGGTGTGACTCAGATCAGAAATGACCTAAGAAAAGTATGTTCTTGGTTATTATTATGATTGTCATTTATCTGTCTTGATGTATACTGTGTAACTCAAAACAGGAGATAGGAAAAGGGATGGCAAGAAATAACAGCCGCAGTGCTTAAGGTAGAAAAAGGATCACAAAATTAAGTAATTATGGGAAGTGGAGAAGGGGCATTTGAGGCAGGCTCAGAGAAAGTGGATGTACCAATAAAGTTACAAAACAGAAAATAACTCCTGCAATGCACGGAGCATAGCAGATTGTACGTTGCATCAATTTCTGACGGTACAATTTCACATTTAAGTACAGGCAAAAAGAGATACACAAACACGATTAAAGCAGAACATTCACTCTTATTGTCTTCTCATTCAGGAAATAGCCTGATCACCCTGACCTTCCACCTGCTGAACCAGTACGGCCTGGTGGAGCTCTTCCAGCTCGACATGGTCAAACTCTGGAGGTTCCTCGTCATGGTCCAGGAGGACTACCACAGCGACAACCCCTACCACAACGCTGTCCACGCTGCAGATGTCACACAGGCCATGTACTGCTACCTGCGAGAACCAATGGTGAGACATGAAAAGCTGCACGAGCGTCAGTGTAGACTGAATCACTGTGACGTCATACAGCCACGCCCAGGTTGACAATTGGCAGTTGATTTCAATTGTGGAGATATATGAAATTAGCAAATTTATTTCTGTTCTCATTTTCAGCCCTAACTTTTGAAGATTTACAGTTAAACATAGTGGTCTGACCTATCTCATTGTGATTCGGTCTATGAAATTTTCAGATCTGAAAGTGTTTCACTGTAGGAGTATTTGTATTTTAATGATCAGTCATCATAATTGTTGTGCCATTGTCTTGTGAATGCAGCTTGCCAAGTCTCTGACCTCCTGTGACATCCTACTGGGACTTCTAGCAGCCGCCACACATGACCTGGACCATCCTGGGGTCAACCAGCCTTTCCTCATTAAGACTGACCACTATCTAGCTACACTCTACAGGGTAAAACCACTAAACAGTCAATCTTTAGTCTGCCAGAACTTACCTATAAATGTACTGAAGTTAAACTAATGCGTCTATGCACATTTTCTTTTCCCTTTCCTTTGTACCGAGCAGAATACCTCAGTTCTGGAAAACCACCACTGGAAGTCAGCAGTGGGCCTGCTCAGAGAGACTGGGCTGTTCTCCCATCTGCCTGCTGAGGACAGGTCAGTCTGACACTGAAATGATGCTCAGCGTGCCAAGAAAACTCCAATTGAAGTTATTTCAAAAGACTTCTCTGCTGAGCTCACAGAGAAAATGGCATCAGATGCCTCAGCCAGTGCTAAACAATCTGATCATCTCATCTCTCTGACCCCTCAGCCTCAACATGGAGAGGGAGTTGGGCTCCTTAATCCTGGCCACGGACATCAGCAGACAGAATGAGTACCTGTCTAGGTTTCGCAGGCACCTGGACCAGGATAACCTGTGCTTGAGCAACGCCAGCCACCGTCACTTCATCCTGCAGGTCGGTTACCTCCTCTGTCACATAAACGCACACAACTTACGCATCTCTGTGGCAAAGGTGCGGGCTCTTAATTTGTTTTTACTCCCGCCCTGTACAGATGGCTCTGAAGTGTGCAGATATCTGTAACCCCTGCAGACCCTGGGAGCTGAGCAAACAGTGGAGTGAGAAAGTGACAGAGGAGTTCTTCCAGCAAGGTTATCATCTTTTCTGCTGCCTGCTGTTATATTGTTTGTCATTCTCCTTCGGTTATTTAGTTTGCTCTTTTCTTTGGTCCCACTACAGCTCCTTCTTTGTTCACTCTGTGTTCATTCTCTGTAACAAAGTCATTCTGTAATAGTTGAACATATAATGCCCTGAAATAGCTCATATATTAATTCTATGATGTGAAACTCTTTTAGGAGACATTGAGAAGAAGCACAAACTTGAAGTCAGCCCACTTTGTGACAGAGGGATCAACACAGTTGGCAACATTCAGATCGGTAAGTAGCTGTGTTGCATACAAAGAAATAGAGAGTAGAGAGAACATTGGGCAGTTTGCCGTGGTCATTTGACACGTACAAAAGAAAATGGTTATTGCTTTTAGTTGTCATGTCACAACACACGTCAGTGAGGCTGAAAATCAGTTTGTTTATACGGAAGTTAGCCTACTACAATAACGGCAATAGTACACATAAAAATGGCCGCTGCTCTGATGCTCCTGCTATGTTCATTTGAGTGGGAATGGCTGTTTCATCTCTATTTCTGTGGTTGTGTATTTGTTGTATAAAGTTTTCACCTAAAACTTGTGCCTAATCTGCAGCCCCAATCTGTGTCTGTTGACTCTTCTCCCCCTTAGGCTTCATGACATACGTGGCAGAGCCGCTCTTCGCAGAGTGGGCCCGTTTCTCCGACACACGTCTGTCCCAGACCATGCTAGGCCACATGGGGCTGAACAAGGCCAGCTGGGGTGGCCTACAGCAGGAACAAACCTCTGAGGAGGCGGAACCCAGCGCAGCCGGCACAGACACAGAAGACGCCGACGCCGCCACTCGAAGAGACAGCAACACAGCTACAGCCACAGGAGGAACCAGCTCCAAAGAAATACCTCAGGGAAGCAGAGAATCCTGACACTCCTCGTGTGCCCTTTCACCTCAACCTCCCAAACCCCGGCCTCAGGGCCGCATCACACACACTGGGGGCCGGGTGGGGCACGCAACGGCCTGCAGCCCTGCTGCTGCCCCACCTGATCCTAACACCTTGTTTATGTTTTGTTGCTTTTGCCTCTCATCTTGATAAACCACTGATTTTATTTAATTTATTTAATTTTTAATTCCTCTTTTTTGGCATAGAGCAATACATAGATACCTCATTTGGCTACTGCTGTATTTTCTTTTATTTGCTTTGTTTTATTTATTTGTCCACTGTAGTTTTGGCATTACTGACTGAACACACCACTTTCTTTTTTTGTTGATGAACCTTAAGGGGAAAGCAGTATACAAACTGAAGAAGACATTTTTCTGGTATTTTTGAAGTGCCATTTGAAAACAAAGATTTGAAGAATGATCTGAACTGACTGAGACAACTGGAGTATTCAGACATGAGACCCTCCTGAGACTTTAAAGTAATGCCGTGTTGCATTTGTATTGAAGATTCTTCCTCATGTAAAAACAAAAAAAAAATGTGACAAGCCCAGTCCTTTTGCTGCCTCTACGAAGACTGTTTACGCATCTCCGTGTTTGTTGTTTCTTTCCCTTGAACTGAAGTGAATCATGTCGGCTCCACGGTTTGCCTTCGAAGCACAGATGTGAAGAACCACTTGTTTGAACTGTCATCCCACTGTTGAAGCCATGAGCAGAACCTTATTCAAACACACCAGATGCCATAAGTAACTCCACCTGTGCTACAACGTGTTTTTGCACTCCCAAATAAAGACGGTGTTGGATGTGCAGCTTCATCTCCATGACATCTCCAAGAGACCCTGAAGGTATTGTAGACATTGGTCCTTTTCTGATGATGTTTCCGAATCTTCCAGTGCTGGTTGAACTCGGGGTAGCTTCCCTCCCAGACTGGAGATCAGTTACTCACTGCACATGCATCTCACCTGGAACTCCACTCCACGCAACTCGACTTGCTCAGGGTTTTGCCAGTCTCTTATCAAGAGGGAGAGGGGGAGGGGGTGACTGCGGATGATGCAGGGTTGTTTTTTTCCTGGCTAGGCTCTACTGAAAGAGACTCTCCCTCTCCGCAGAATGTCTCTCAGCCACATGCAACCTAAAGGACTGCTTGATTGATGCCTTATAACTATGCACAAACTATGCTAAGTGACCAAACCAGCTCCTGTTCCCATCAAGTGCATGGTGTGCTTGTCTTTGAATGCACTGTCCGATCCCTTTGCCTTTTTGTTGTGAGGAACAACTCCAGCTGTCTTTTTTTGTACGGAAACAAAATGGTCGAGTGACTTTTGAACATTCCATTTCTTTGTGTTTGGTTTGTCTACTTTGATTCTGTATAGTGGCACAAAATTGTGTTTGTGTTTAAACATTTTGAAAGATAACAGGTGCTTTTCTTACTTTAGCTGATTTGTATTTTGCTGTAAGTGCTGTAAGACTGTTGATAAAACTGTTTACAATTTGTTGCGACAGCCATTTTTGGGAAGACTTCGGTGTCGAGCCAGATTTTGTAAAGGCTTTGCTGTATTGACCTTTTTGATACATGCCTGTTGCAGTTACAATTTGAATAATAAAACCTGTTGTTGACAAAAGTCTCTTTGACTTTCACACGTTTAAAGCAGGTAGTTCGACACTCTAGTCCAGCGGTTCTCACAACAGCAAGGCAACATTTTAAAGGTTCCATGTCGTAAAAAGTCAGATTCCCATGTCTTTTTTTAAGGTCCAGTATGTAGGATAGAGGCATATATTTCTTTCATTAATTCATAGCGACCCAGGATGCCTTCCATACCGTCAGGTCGATTTTCCACAGGTGAATTGTTTGCTCAGTGTCCAGCTTGTTTCTTTCTTTTGTGCTTGTCCGCGTCTTTTCTTTTTCTTCCAGAGATAAAAAAAGGCTGTATCTCAATCACACACTGCTTTGTTTCAATATTCTTTCAAAATCTATAAATTGTTTGCAGTGTGTTTAGGCAGCCCTAGCGCCGACAGCCATCTTTATTCGGCTCAAGGTCCAGCTATGTCCCTCGTTATGTCCTTTTGCTGTCAGAACAATATTTCTATATTGACAGAAATGGTACATTCATAACTCTTTTCAGTCTGCCATGTTTCTACAATAGCGGAGAAATCAAACGCTGGCTCTAGATAGGATCCTTCACGTTTCCTCATCTCACTGGCCCCTGTAGTTCTCCTACACGCTTGGCACATGGGAGACAATTTAGTTCTGCAACCTCACAGCTAAATGCCACTAAATCCTACACACTGGACCTTTAGTATAAAGCAGGTAAAGGTGTTACATAAATACTATGAAAGTATCAAAAGGCTGCACACAGACCATATTCAGAAACTGTTCCTTCCATATGAGCTGTCAGGACTTTGTGATGTCACAACTAGATTGAAACTTCCAACAAACATTTAAATTGGGTCCCTTTGTATTTCCTGCTGGAATGTTTTACTCTATCTGTGTCTTAGTTCAGGGGCTACAGCCTTTAAATTAAGATTAAGATGCGTGCTTTTAGCTAATAGTAATGTTAACAACTGTTAGTTAACTTGACTTAATGTATAATTGTCACCACTGTGCAATGCATCTTGGTATAGGCTGGGCCACGAAGGATTCATCTGTTGCATCCTCCAAATTCTGGGAAAGAAGGCTGCATTTCTTGAACGCACCTGAAGGAGCCTTCGATATGGGACAGCCTTGGTCGCACGAATGTGATGCAATCGGTCTTCAAATGCAGCCTTTGAAGGCTGCAGCCCCTGAATTGAGACACAACTAATGTTTATGAATGACATCAGCTGACAGGTAGTAAACATGGACCCAAGCAGTTGCCTAGAAATGCTATTCCAGTAAAACTGGTCCAAAAAGAAGTGCTGCTAAAGTGTAGTTATACCAGCGGCAATGATAATGTAGAGATGCCGAGAGCGCTGGTGTGGAAGACCTGTAAATGCTGACCAAGTGGAACAGGTTTTTTCAGGCAGGGCCTTAAAGAGACAAGTTATGATGGAGTGTTTCTGACAGAGGGTAAATAGAGGTATAATCAGGCAGACTGTATAAGAAAAATGTTTTTTGTTTTTTAGATGCATGTAGACGCATTCTAGGAGAAACCAAAAATATAAAACTGAAAATTAGTATAATATGGGACCTAAAAAAATAAAATAAAATCACAGTACCTCCTGCAGTACTCCCATTTGAGAAACACTGCTCTAGTTGACATTTGCAGAATAATGTCAATTGTAAATCAACAATAATATCTCCTTTAAGTTATGTTGCACTTCATAATCTTTGATCCCAACTCTTAAGGGGCAATTCAATACAAAAGCAGGTGACTTTCATTTGGTTAAAACTCACATGACAAACGTACACCACAGCAAATCAGGACAGAACAACTTTAATGTAAAGATTTGTCAAAACAGTTTTTAATGGAAGACAACTCTTCTACAAAATTCGACTACTGACACATCCAGTCCACCTTCCCTTATAAAAAGCTAATACTAGTAGAGTTGACTTGAAGCAGCAACCACACTGGCATAATGAACAGAGCTGGAAACAATGTGCAGTCAGTCACTTTGAGCTGAAAACAAAACACGACCTTGAGTCGCCGCTTTGTTTTTCCAAACTGAGGCGTGAAAATGTGATGATTTCTGGCACAGGAGCATTTTTACCTTTGGAATACTGTTAACAGCGGGTACAAAAGGACCCGTGACTTAAGTGTGTTTTCAATACAGTTAACTATAACAATGCAGCGTTTCTTTACAGATGATGTTGAAATGTGTGTCTTAAGTTCTGGGAAAGCTTTTTGTGATTAACGGGCAGTCTTATCAAAAAAGATAAAGCAAGAAAACACTGAACATGCACCTGTACCGCCTATAACCTGGAAACAGTACAGCAGTTACCATATTTGTTTCTTACTATTTCAGCGTCATCCTACATTTAAAATATACAAAGGAATATGAAAAGATATTTGGCAGTGAAAGGCAGAATCTCGCAGATCATCACTGGAATGTCTTTGGCTCTCAAACACAAATCATACTAAAGAAATAAACATCAACCAAAATTGGGATGCATATATTTGAACCAGCAAAGAACACACAAGCCCCGGCAAGACTGGCTCCTGAGACACAACTCACACAGGTCCAACAGATAAAGTACAAACTTGTTTAAAAGCCTCTTATGATTAATAACAAAATCTACAGCATAATTACCTGTGTTAAAATCTTAATTACCTACTTAAACCACAACATAAATAGAAGGATCCCAATCATAAATTACTCTATCATACATGTATAAACAATACAGCACAATATTCCACAAGCAAGAAAGTGCTCCCTTTCTTCTGTGGTAGAAGAACTCTTCAGCTTTCACAGACCCCCTGAACAATGGGAATGCAAACATGACCAACTATGTTACGTGCAATATTTTAACAAAAACCTAAGTTATGATTGAGCATTGAAATGATGCTGTAGTGTTGACTCTTCACTTTCACTCACCACTGATATGAGCAGAGAATTTAAACTTTTCAACACAAAAAAACATTCAGTTTAACAAAAAAAAAAAATCATGTCTGTAAAACAGGAAGCGAATATTATAAGTTATAAAAGTGCAAAAACAGATGGTCAAGAAGACAACCAGATACAACACTATGAGATGACTGAGACTTGGAGCAGACTACTTCAGTCAGAATCCCTTGTTTTTCTACAGAAACAGCTGATATTTAAAAGGTTGATAAGGCACTTCAAAGTGTCTGCAGCACATCTGGACCCCAAGCTCAGAATCATCTGTTTAGATGAACTTCCTTTTTCCAGTTGCTTTCAACATGTGCTGCCCAAACTGTGAAAACAGACAGAAGACAGAATAAGTGTCACAAGCATGAGCCTCTCATCCATGAGTAGATGCACACTTCCTTCTACACGGTGATAGTGTTGGCGGGTGGAGTTTGGTAGAAGGAAAATAGTTGCTACATGAAACTGCTCCCAACAAGGTCTGTGGATTAAGTAACTGGGTCATGATTTCTGGAAAGAGACCTTGCTGTAGAGTTTTTCACATGTGTTTTGATGGTGCTTTGAGCACCACAAGCCGAGTGACATCTAGTTCCATTATACTTGAGAGAAGGCAGAGATCTCTACGGCTGATATCTCCAACATTCGCCAACTCACGCCAAACAATCTTGACTGATATATAGCACTACAGGTAAGAGGAAAAACATGTATTTTTAATTTAAGGGTGAACTGTCCCTTTAAGACAAGATCAGTCAAATTGCATGTACTTGATTCCTAAAATGAGGAAAAAATATAAAAACCCTGAAATTCCACCTCATGAAAAATGTTATATGGAGTAATTCAAATTACTATCGACAAAAACAATTCATTAATGGCTGATTTTGTGGCATCTGTGGCATGTACACAGTAACATCTCTCACCAAAGGGGTTTCTGTTTGAGGTTTTACTTCTTGAACTGGAAGTGTGAAATCCTCCTTGTCTCCTTGTTCACTGACGCTGTTGTGTCGATACCGATGGGCAAACTTGCGTTTCAGGGCCTCTGCGATGAGAGCTGCAGCATCTGTAGGATCGCTGGACTTCAATTTGGCTTCACCTTCCACTGGACGACTATGAAACACACAGTTCACAAACAATAACAATTAGAATTTGATTATTTGTGTGGTATACAAACATGTCTGATTCACTGTTTAAGCAGACCCCCACCTTTTGACTGATCGCAACTTGACTTTGTTCATGTCTTTCAGGACGTCAAGCATGCTGGGGATTTCTGCCGGCTTTGAATCCAAAAGTGTCTGGCTGTTTGTCTTCTTCCCCTTGCGCTCCCTTATCAAGTCAATGGCAGAAAATGTCCGCTGGAGATTTGAGAGTGGTGGTGGTGGTGGTGGAGGAGGAGGTGGTGGTGGGGGAGGGGGAGGCAGGGTGCCACAGGGTGGAGGGGGAGGTGGAGGTGTCCCTGTGGTAGCAGCTGAGGTGAGACAAAGGAAAGAGAAATTTTAAGGCTGTGTGACATGTGAAACTCTGCTGCCATCTGCAGGAGATTATACATCACTGCAGGGAAGCAAACAAATCACTCAAAGCATTTACGCCACAAGGAAAGAGATAAGACTGTTTTGTGTGAGAGATACCTGGCTGCGTGTTCTTCTCCTGAGCCAATACAATTTGTGCTATCTGAGCTCTGAGTTTGGCGAGTTCTGTCTCCAGTGCGCTAATCTTCTGAATGGCCTCATCATTGGCGACTGTTGGCCCTTGAGGGTCCGGAGTCTCCTGCTGTAGGCTCGGTAGTGACCTCTGGCGGGTTAAGGATTGTCTCTGAGGATGAGGCTCGCGGGCTCGAAACACAAGTCCTGGTGGGATTACTGACCTGTTTCAATAAGACAGAATTACTTGCAATTATTAGCAATTAGCAATTATCCTGCCGGAAGATGTGAGCCAAGAAATAATTAATAATTATAATAACATTTAACTCACGAAACAAAGTGTTTTACAAAGATAAAAAATAGAAGACAATGATAAAAACTATTTAAAAACAGTGTAATAGTTATTTAAACTGAACAAAACGAACTACATATGAGAGAGTAAATTAAGTACAATAAAACAATACAAATAAAATACTGATTGAATAAATTTTCAGAAAATGTATATAAATAAGTTTTAAGGAGTGACTTAACAGGTAAAGATTGAATTCAGGCCACAAGCCCACTTAAAGCACACTTAAAAATATGATTTTAAGAGGGATTTAAAAGAAGATAAAGAGCTCCCCAGTCTGATTTCCTCAAGGAGGTTGTTCCAGAGAGTAAGGGCCATTAACAGAAAGGTCCCAATCACCCTTGGTCCTGAGCATAGATTGTGGAATGGTAAGCCAAACTTTGGCTCTACAAGATCATTATCCTGCTCTCACCTGGGTCTGCCAAACAAGTTGTCATCATCATCCTCCTCATCCCTGTCAAGCCAGCCGACATCAGCCAGAGAGGCCACCAAACCATTCTGCCTCCTGGCGCTGATCAGGACACCAGCCTCCTCACTGTATGGATAAAGCTGTCAGAGAGAGAACAGCTATGTTCAACATTTGGACAAAAAAAAAAACTCAGAAAGACATGCCAAAGTTGAGCACATACCAGGACACATTACAACACGGCATTTCAACAACTAATAAAAGGAGGTAATCAAGTAGAAAATAGGAAATGAGGGTAGTTAAGAAGGAGGAGGTGAGGGGATCTCTATAGTGTTAATGAAAGGTTCAGGTAGGTTAGAATGTAGCTCAGTGGGTCTTAAATCAGCACAAGGTTGTTGCTGAAGAAACTGACCTAAAGCAGACAGACTGCATTCCTCAGAGCGAGGGAGGGAGGCTGGAGACAGGAGAAAAGAAGAAAAGAGAACGCACAGCGTTGAAAGAGACAGAAAAGTAAAGAAAAGCAGTTCAGTTTTCAATGACATGATACTGAACAGAAATATCTCAAAAGTTGATTTGTTAACAGTTTAAAAACTTCTGCACACACAGTCAGTGCTCTTTGGATAAGAAAATATCTCTGTTCCAATGACTTCATCCTGTCTGTTTATGGTTCAGAAATGAAAACAGTCACACGACCTGAGGTAAACAAAAGCTGGGAGAGGGTACATGATTTGATGTCACGTAACTGTGACTCCACCAGTCATGAGAGACAGGGCGATATCAAATGTGACAACACGCCGTGATCTTACAACAATACAAGATATACATGCTGCTTGTTCAAGTCAGTTAAATGACACAATATTATAAAAAATATATTTGTGATAGTGGTAACATTCCCTCACCTGAAAATGAACCCTGGCGCAGGGTTGAAGAGGAAGAGTAGAGGCTATTCTCCTCACAATGCTCCTTGAGGACCCATAAGGCTTGGCTGATCCAAAAGCCTGTGAAACAAAATGTAAAACACATCATTTACATCACTAATAAAAGAAAAAAATAATGTGCCACAACCTGCAAATTACAGTTAACATTGATTTTTTTTTTTTGACAATTATATTTGCTGAAATTCTAAAGTCCATAATATGATTTCAATTCAATTTCGGAGCCTGCAGTCCATATTCGATGACATAAGTAAATGCCTCATTGTCTTTTTCTTGGCTGCTTGCCATTATCTGCCTGGCTCTAGGCCGCTAGCAATGTTCTAACGTTTGAAAGGGATGTGTGCTCATGTGCTTAGATGAAAATGGTGACTCAGATGTACAATGAGAATTTTGAAAGAAAGGTGTATCTTCAAGGTGGCTATATGTATCAATGTTTTCACTTTGTGACGCTGATATTAGATTGTTGGCCTTAAGTATATCGATCCAAATTGATGTCCATCCATGATCAATATCTCTCAGATCTTGCACATAAGAGACCCTAACAAGGAGCTTTCAGGTGAGAGCAACACAAAGGCACAACAGAGGTGTGCAAAGGTCTGTGTAAGACAATGAAATCACATTTTGAAATGTATGGAAACAGTGCATTCAGCAGACATGTATTGAGTCAGACATCAAAATGAAGTGTCACATACCAGGTCCATTTCGATCCGTGGATTATCTTTACTCATTTCTGTTGATGTGTTTCACAAGCGCAGATAGACACATGCCTTAACACAGAGGGCATCATCACCAAACAGTCTTCTAGGGGAAACACAGAGCAAGAGTAAGAGGTTCAGGTAGAATCATCTTAAACACAAAACTTAAAACCAACAATGACTTCTTGTGTCTCTGCAAGGTGTGTGAAGATGCTCCTGTACAACTGGCATACACTCTGGATCAGCCTTTGGTGGTATAGACTGATATTAAAATCGAAAAGCAATACAGTTATCTGTCCAATATTACCATTGCTAATACGATATATCTAATAGTTTTCCTGACAAGTGCGGCATGTAACACAACTGTCAGTGGAAACAAAGTAATTGAAAGTTATAATCTTCACATGAATAATATTTATTAAGAAGTGTAAAGCTTCTATTTAAGCAGGGGCACTTATGCAAATAATAAAAAAGACATACAGCAGGATAATGAGTTAAGGCTAAGTAGCTAAGGTTAGCTAAAGATGCATAAACAAATAAAGAACAGTCAGAGATGTATAACTGGTTTAATGTACTTAATGCCTTTTGTGTTGTTTGTTTTGCGATGTTAACTTGACTTGTCACTTGACTGCTATAACACTGCAATTTCCCACTGAGAGCATCCATGTCTCACCATAATTATGCGAGCAAACGTTTCCAAGCTAACATTTACCGCTGTTTGTTGTTTTGCGAGCTGAGAACTTGCACAATATACCAAGAAACGAATAACAGTGAATCAGTGGCAGCTCTGTGACAGATGTTTAGGGGGTTTACGACAGGCTAATGTGCTGGCTAAGCTAATTAAAGCTAATAAAACCGGTGAATCCTAACTTTAGCGGGCTATATGGCTAAATGCTAACAGGGACAGCAGGCTAGCTAACTCCAGCTAACTTTAACAACCGCTGACAAATGTATTAGGATACATTGAAGACACGCGCAGTTCTGGTTACCCCCAACGTTTGATATTCAACTGTGTTAACGTTATATCCATAATCGATAATCGGTTGTGTGAGTGCGTGACTTTGAAACTAACTTACCGAGTCTGACGCTAGCAAACAACTCCAAATTTTTCCACCTTGTCAACGGACGGACATCTGCAGCAGGCGGTGACTAAACAGGGAACACTCAGGGAATACACGTTAGGGCCAATGGGATTATACGGGTTACAATAGATAGGTTGTAGCCATGGAATGCCACCATTGGTTAGCCATATTGATTGATAGATAAATTAACCAATTGGATTTCACCTTCAAAACAAAACTATCTAATGATTTGATATCATATCTGTCAATCAAACTATAGCGTCCAATCAAATGCCATAAATCGTGTGTATGTTCGTTATACTTCCCTACGTTTGCCGGTGGAGATATGTCCGCTTTAACCTGCTGGGATTCTTATGGAAAACTGGGATGTCTGCGTTCACATAACAGCTGTACCCATTGATGTGCCACAAAACCCAAACAGTGAGCACAGCTGCTAGCGACGGGACCATAGTAAAGAAAGAGGCGCAGGCCTAGCGTTAGTTAAATTGTCCTGTTACAGTTTTATGGTGGCATCGGGACTTTTTGTGACGTCGTTGTCGCAACTGTTGTAACTGAAGTCGAGTGGGGTTGTCTCATGGTGTTACTAAAAACTGACAGAAAGGTATGTTGTAATTGTCAAGTGACGTTAGCTATCTTAGCTTAGCTGCCGAATCGCCTCTGTACCACAGGGCGTGATTTGAGGTGAGGTTGGGGGTCGTAGAAAGTGTCTTTGGCAAAAAGAAGTACTTGTATTTTGGGTTACGAAGATTTCGTGATTCTGTTAGTAGTATGCGTGGGGTTAAACCGTATGGCTTTCAGAATTAGCTTAACAAACTATGCTAAAATATATGTTCTTAAATGTCCTAACAATGCATATAAGTAACTTTACAGGTGTCACCAACCTGTCAGGTTGTGCAGCACAATGGATGGAGGTTATTGCTGATGTACAGCCTCAAAAACTCCCCAAAATCAGTGAAACGTGCTGTAAGACAATGGGATAATTGTAAAAGTTTGACACTAGTACATGCAACTGACACCTCACTTTGTAAGGTGCATCATCATCGAAGTGGTTTTAAAATACATTTTGGGGTGTTTTGTTTGTTGGTTTGTTTCCTGCATCAAATTATTTGTAGTTTTGCAACAAATGGTACCACAGATCAATTTGATCAGTTGATTAATAGAAAATTATTTGTGAGCAATCATTGACAATCAAATAATAATTATTAAAATAAACAAACATTAACTGGTTCAAGCTTCTCACATGTAAAAATCTGATTGTCTCGGTGTCATATTACTGTAAACTGAATATATTGTGGCTTTTTTCATGAGTGATCAGAAAAATAAGCATTTTGATTCGTCGTCTTGGATTTTGGGGAACCGTGATAGTCACTGTAGTCCTTACATCTAATTTAGACAATCTACAGGTCGATTAATAATGAAAGAATGTTTAGCTGAAGCCCTCGTTTTTATGATGTGAGATCCCTGATTTACCTTATCTTTTTTCCAGTAGAGTGAAGAGGTTGGTTTAATGTGCGTGGCATCAAGACAAGAGGCACCATGAGTGCGGAGCTGGATGCACTGGCCGTGGTGAACCAGCTGCGAGATCTTGCTGCAGACCCCCTGAACCGAAGAGCCATAGTAGAAGACCAAGGCTGTCTGCCAGGTCTCATCCTTTTTTTGGACCACCCCAACCCACAGGTCGTCTACTCTGCACTATTGGTAAGCAGCATCCGAATATTTACATTTTCTTTATGTGCTCACACATAAAGAACTTTACATCACAGATAGTTGGTGGTGGAAGAAAAAGAAGAAAACTAGTTTTGACTACACAAGGCTGAATATTCAGTGCTGCCATACAAAGAAAGAAATGAAATATTTATAAATCTATTTGAAATATCTACAGCAGCTGTTAGGTTAAAGTAGTCCTGGTTGAATAAGCAGTAGTGCTCCCTGCTGGTTCTGTAATTGAGATGTTTTCTGCTCATGTCATATTTTGCCCCCCCTGCTGTTCAGCAGTGTTAGAGCCGGTCTCAGTGACCATCTGAAGGCCATTTCTCCTACCACTGTGTCCCAGTCACATGCTGATACATGGCGACTTTAAAACAGCTACATACTTAAAAACACTGTGCAATGGTGACATCTGCTGTCTGTTTTGTGGTGTAAACACAACACAAAGTCTTGATATAGCAACCTCTCCCCACTTCCACCACCACCCTCCTGTACAGTACATGACTTGTATTGTGAGTGCGCATTTAAGTGCTTTTATGTAACAGTTGCTCCTTGATGGTAACCCGTGAAGTGTAAACACGGGGTCGGTGCATGTGTATTTATTTTGGGTTATGTAATATTTCACCACTGCACATGCTGGCCCATTCTAAAAGCTCCCTCACTCTCTTGTGATATCACAAAGGGTCTGACAGCTTTGAGCGGACGGATAGATAACGCTTGCCCTTGTCCTTGCAGGCCGTGCGCTACCTGGCAGAATGTCGAGCCAACAGGGAGAAGATGAAGGGCGAGCTGGGCATGATGCTGAGTTTGCAGAATGTCATGCAGAAGCAAGTCCCTGTCACCACCTCATCACACACACACACACACACACACACACACACACACATGCTCACTGTGCACTTTCTTTACATAAAACCTTAACCTAGGATTTCTTTTGTTTTGCACAATGTGTGCCAGTCTGCAAATTTTCCAGGCAGGGTGATGTCCTTCTATTTGCCATGTCAGGATGAATGTGATTAAAGTTGAATTAGAGCAGGGTGCTAAATGGTTAAACTGCTGTTCCTGCATCTTATAGATTTTAATGCATCTTGCCACCTCTCATTTTCTCGATCAGTCTACTTGCGTGTTTTTACTGATGTGAGCTCATATTTGCTTTTGTTTTGTCGTTGAGTTAGCGGGTTGTTTTGCAGAGGTGGCTCATTTTGCACACATGGTATATTTCAGGCATATTTCTGTGTTGCTTGCTGGTCTTGTATCGTTTATGAGCTTTTCTAGAAGCACTGTAAACAATTCTAATGTCCTAAAAGAGCATGATGAACCCACTCTGGTCACTTGTGTGGTGTTGAAGGCAGGTCTGCTTTGAGGAGGTGTTCTGCTCCAGATAGCTGGTCCCACCTGAGGGTCAGTGGCAGTTTTGCTAAGTGGCTGCTGGTCATCATCAGCACCCTGATAGAAATAGACCTATGTTCAAATGGCCGGCTGTAGATTGTATGATTATGCTCCCCCCCCCCCCCCCCCTCCTTCTCCTGCGGCAAAGCTCTTGCTTGCCCTGGAGTGCGCCAGTCACTTCAGCTAGTCAGGCGTGGCATCAAGAGGAGCCCTGCAGTAACGGCAGCAGCTTTCCCTGCTCGCAGTCCAGTCAATCTGACTTTGGGTAGAGGTCGATCATAGCTGGACAGAGTGGGAACACATGGCTGACGGGGGCCATCCAGCATAGTTGCACCAAACAGGTGTGAATACCATTTTTTTAAGATCTGAAGCTCAGGAAGACGTGGCCTCTTATTCAGTGCATGAACATAAAGAATAGATGATGAAATCAATCCGAGAGAGTGTTTGCCTTCCATAGAGCTGGAGTAAGGATGTGTTGTATGGTGCTGGAGAGCACCAGGCTCCCAGAGGGCACCCAGGCCAGACAGCTGATGTCGTATGTGGTTACTATGGAAGGAGTGATGACTTGATGACATATGAAGCCGTGTAGCCTGCAGGTTTATCTCAGGATCCCTCACAAAATATCCGTAACTGCAACTGACGTCATGTGGCTTCTTTAAGGAAAGCTGCGGCCCACTAAAATATTTTGCTCTGCTGTGGATTTTTTTTTTTGCTAAACGGGCAGTAAAAACATGACTGAAGTGCAGAATAGGCTTAATTATCATGAGTGTGAACCAGAGAAATAGAGAGTTGAACGGACACTCCCATTCAGACCAACATACCAGGATGGTCAGAGCAGTGGCCATTTTTATGTGTATCTAAACTTAAGTCTAAACAAACTGACTTGTGGCAGCTCACTAAGGTCACTCACAAAGTATGAAGCATGGAGAGGCGTTTTCAGTGCACCGTCTCGATTGCCTTGCTGCTAGAGAGAAATTGTGGATTGCTAAGTTTATGTTACAGTGTTATATAGTGAGAAAAGTATCCTCTGTAGTTTTAGCAGAGACTTCACTACCTTTTTAAACAGCACAATAAACACAGAAAGGGAAAGGGAGTATTCTTGCAACTATTTATACATAAAAATACAGACACACACCAGTCCAAGTTTCTCTGAACTAAGACTAGCTTGATTACCTTGTTAACTCATCATAAAACACACTTCATTTAAGCTCCACAGAGACAATATAACACTTGGTTAACGTTAGTCTTTGCAGGGCGACCTCTAGCTCTCCTGGTAGAGTGTGCGCCCTATATTGGCTGAGTCCTTTGCAGGGGCCTGGGTCCGATTCCAACCTGTGGCCCTTTCCCCTGTCTCTTCCTCATTTCCTGTCAATCTCCAGCTGCATTGTCTGTCACTGCGGCATCCTTGAGCTCAGGTCTACACCTCCAGTGTTAGAACAGGAAGGACATGGTCAGATTCAGGCTTCATCCATTGAAGGTTATGAAATGGAAACTTAATTAATTTCAAGTTTAGGCACAATTTACACTTCTTCTCTCACACAGACAGAGGCATACAGGCTTCATAATTTGTCTTCTTTGGCAGTGGTTTGCTATCTCGCCTTTAACAGAAGAATTTTGTCACAATAGTGTGACCATTTGAAAGTGCGCATGACTCAGGTTACCTACTCTTTACATCATCATACCTACACTGAACTGCATTGCACCTTTAGTGTTGTTACATACCTACAAATATGCTACTGATCACTTGTGTGTACATAAACTACATTTCACCCCCAAAAAAATCCCAATGTAAATAATATTTTTTACTGATTGTCTCCCCCTCTTCCCTTTCTTTACCCTCTCTCTGTCACCAAAGGAGTACGTCACCCGGGGAGACCAAACTGCTGGCCTCTGAGATCTATGAGATCTTGCAGTTAGCTGGTAAAGAACAGGCCGAGCAGGCCGAGGCAGCGGCTGCCTCCTGCCAGCGTAAAGCCCAGTTCTTCCTGGGCTCCAACAACAAGAGGGCCAAAACTGTGGTGCTGCACATTGATGGACTGGATGATCCTGTGAGTGATCACACATTCAGGACTTAACACAACATGCTGGCACTCATCCGTCATGCTCAAACACACCAAATGTCTGTTAGTGCACAAAAATCTTTTTTGGGGCTATCGTGTTTGCTGCTGTCATTATCACAGCGTTGTCAGTGCGGCTTAGCGGTGTCTATCTGGCACATGATAAGGGGGTGGAGGGGTCAGGTTGTAAATGTCAGCCATTGAACAGCAGGACGTTGAGATTGAACCTGAATGCTGCTCTGCAGGAAGCTTGCACCTAGCCAGATTACATTACAGCAGACAGACGGCCTCTGGTGGGCTGCATCGCTATCACTACAGCACAAACACACAGCGCTGTGGCAGCTGGAAACCATAGACATGTAAACTCTGTTTCTCAAGAGCATGTTGTATTTAGCAATATAATGTTTTATAATATATTTTTATGGCCACATTTGACCTAATTAAACTGTTGCTGAATCTGCAACATCCACATTTCCAGCCATACTGCACTCGTGCCATTAACTCATGTCATGTTGGCCTTGTTGTTTCTAGTCACGCCTTTGAACTGTATCCTGTTTGTCATCAGACTCGAAGGAGCCTTTGTGAGGAGGCGTTGCTGAAGATTCGAGGGGTCATCAGCTTCACCTTCCAGATGGCTGTCAAGAGATGTGTTGTCAGGATCCGCTCCGACCTTAAAGCTGAGGTAAATGTCTGTCCTGATGCAGAAATTCATCCAGGAACTTAGAACCAGTTATTTATTTCATCAGCTTCCCAGTTTTAATTTAAAGAATAAACTGTGTTTTATCTGTACCTTTCCTGATTGATTACTAAAGACAACACTGTTTTGTCAAGTGTCTGTAGCCCCTTTTGAACTGCCTGTTCTTGGTTGAAATGTGGCGCCATTATTCCAGTGCACTACTCTTTATAAAAGGTACAATCAGAGAATGGGGGGAAAGACTTTGTCACCTTTAAGCTGGCAGCTGTGATAATAGCAGTGCCGAATCGGTGTCTATAAAAGGGACAGCCAGCAGGAGCAGGACAGGTGTGACGCTTTGACGACATGTTATGTGTGCAACCCACCCCTGGGAGATTTAAAATGCAGCTAGCATCAGTTCGCAGCTAACTCGAAGAACAGCAGCCGAAAATGTCCACAAATTGGAAAAACAATGAGGTCCGGGAGATTCTAACCCTCCGAGCAGAAGTTGAGATCAACTGCCATATAACAGGGACGGTAAATGATTGTTGTTGCCATGTTATGCCACTGTTATTGTTCAGAAAGCACTGCCGACATGTATGTTATATGTCACACTATAGGCAAACGCTATTGGTTGTGTTAAATGTCTCGTTGTCATGTCTCTTTTGCTTCCACGATGCCGGCATACTTTCCAAAATCACACACTGGAGCGACATGATGCTGCTGTTATTTGACTCTGTGTAAAAATATAAATGCAACATACAAAAGGGACTTTCTTGCGGCCCTATAGCACAGTCTCTGTGAAACTTGTTACACTTAATGTATTTTAACTTGACGTGATAACATTTTAAAACACTTGGAAACATCTATAGCAAGACAAATGTCACTGTCATCTATTGGTTGCTGTGCTGTTGCCTGTTTTTGATATTTAAAGAGGAGGAATCTGCTTCCTTCAGTCACTGCAAAAGTAACAAATGCAACAAAAGTTAGATATGAACTTCATCACAGGTATGTACAACTTGCAAGTAGTCGTCAAGCTTAATCAGAAAAGCTCAGGTTTGCCTAAAACTGATAAAAATGTACTCTTAAATGTCCAGCATGTAGAATTTAGGAGCATCTATTGGCAGAACTTGAATATAATATTCATAACTATGTTTTCATTAGTTTATAATCACCTGAAAATAAGAATCATGTTTCCATTACCTTAGAAAGACACAGTTATATCTACAGACAGAGTGGGTCGTCTGCCACGTAGTCCACCATGTTGTTTCTATAGTAGCCCAGAATGGACAAACCAAACACTGGCTCTAGATAGCGCCATTCGCGTTTTCACATCGGCCACTGTAGTTCTCCCACACGCTTGGCACATGGAATAAGTTTCAGTTGTGCAACCTCACTGTTAGATGCCATTAAATCCTACACACTGGACCTTTAACACTCACACTTATATATACTGTATCCAACTGGTTGGATGTCTTGAGCATAACTTTGATATTGGTTTTGGTACCAAAAATACTGAAAGCAGCAGCAGTATTTAGCATTAACATTTGCTTTACCAAGAGTTCTGGTGATGTTTTGAGCTGACAGAAATAAAAAGCATCACAAATGATCACAAAAGTTGTTTTCCCCCCCTCACAGGCGTTGGGCACAGCAATCAACTCCACCAAAGTAATGAAGGCACAGCAGGTGGTGAAGACTGACGATGGAGGAGAGGTAAGGACAGCTGAGAGAGATTGACTGATATGTGGGAAAGAAACAAACTGTAAGGTCTTGATTTACTTTAAATTGCTGTATGTAAGACTCATTTCCAGTTGATCAGTCTGCCCACTGTATGTTGTGCGTATCTCTGTACAGGCAGTGTAGCCGCCCTTGCCTGTGGCTGAGACTTATTCACACTGACATGATTAGCTAGTCACATCTCTGCCTCAGCCTGTAGGCTAGTTTCTTTTTGCCAAACACATGACCAGTCCTTCATTGCACCTTTTTTTACAGCAGTGTTACCGATTTGCAGCACAAATGTAGTGGAGCTGAATTTGAAGCTGCTAACAAAAATATGAGAGTCCAAAGTGTTTGTTCTACAATAAACTGTAAAGAATTGTTGCTCAAATAATGAGAAATAATTGGCACTGGGCACATTTATAGTCATACATTTTGCGGCCAGCAGGGGTCAGAGCTGGCTCAGTCATGTAATATGTCTCCACGTGATGATTATTTGGCTCTCTGGTCAAACAACTGTGCTTTATGTTAGTCTTAGAATTCCATAAATCATTTTTTTTGGACAAATTTTGATGATATTAACACAAATTATTGTTTCTTCTGGTAATTAAAACAAAAATATGATCTGTGTTTGCACAGCTGATTTTGCCATTCCAAGAGGGCTCCGTGGTGCCGGTAGAGGAGAACACCGACATCCCAGACTACCTGCCCGAGGAGGAGAGTCCGTCCCAGGAGCAGGACAAAGCCGTCACGCGCGTAGGCTCCATCACAGACGGCATGGGCTGGCTCAGCACGGCCGCCAACTTCCTGACACGCTCCTTTTACTGGTGACCACTTCCTGTGTCTCTCTCTCTCTCTCTCTCTCTCTCTCTCTCTCTCTCTCTCTCTCTCTCTCTCTCTCTCTCTCTCTCTGCTGCCTGTCTCCTCTAAAGTACCATCCAGCTGCAGCCTTAGCGTCTCTCAGCCTCGCCCCGGACTAAGCCCTGCCTCACGGCCCTACACTAGTCTAGACTCCCCCCTCTCTCTCCGCTAAGCACACAGAAGCCGGCCAGATGTGTGCGACAAGTGCTGGACTGCCAAGTGGAACTTGCAATAACTTAAACTTGTGTATATACTGAGCTACAAATCCCACTACTGGCTATATGTGCACAACTATATACTAGCTGCATATGTATCTCACAAGACATAGCCAGAGGACTTCAAATCAGCCGAAACCAAATAGCATTCTGGAAATGTGTATGGCTGCATGGACAGAGTTGAAATGTGGCAGGCGTATTTAATTATTCTGAGGCTGATTTTGATTACGTTGAAAGTTTTTTTGTGCATGATTTTTGGTTGCTTCCTCAAATTGTCCTCTTTACGATACATTATTTCCATCTTTAATTTTCTAATTAATTTTGTCTTCCCCCTTCAGTTTTATTAGCATGCTATGAGTCTTTTGTGCCAATCTTGCCTGATGCCTAGATCTGTGACTATTGTGTGTGCCTTTTTTGACATTTTACTTTAATATTTTTCCATCAGTCATTCAAATAATTTAAGAGCTCCGAGCATGTCAGATGTAACGCTCCCAGGTGGTCCTTAGCAGCAGCAGCTGGCCTCCCATAGCTTGTAGCTGACTGAGGTACGTCTCTATAGTAGAAATAGAAAACTAGACACCAGCAAGAGGCCACAGCCCATTCAGCCACTGGCCCACATGCATTATACTGTTGCATCCTCAAAGAAGAACTCCTTAGCTGATCAATATAACACCCTTCCCTGCGTTTAGCTGGACTCATAGACATGTTTCTATGGCTGGACTCCTCTGATGATGCTATAATGCAGGAATAAAAACCCAATGTGAGCTTGCAGAAGCTGTGAGTTGACTGACAGCTCCTTGTGTTACTTCCACAGACTTTAGGCTACCTCTGCTTTCAGCCCTCTATCTCACATCAGCGTTAAAGTCTTCTGTAGTTTTAGTAAAACTCTTACTCAGCATGTGGAAGACAAACCTGTTAGCCGCCTGCTTGTCAAACGTTTCCCCGTGTTACCCAGACTCCCACTGGACATCTTTTTTTTTTTTTTTTTTTTACAGTATTGTAGCCTCACCTGTTTAGTTCAGTTTTCAGTTTAGCCAGCAGTGTCCTTAAAGCAAAGATCATGTTGGTGCACGCTCACACACACACACAAACAAACACACACACATACAGTACAGAGGACTCACTAATGCTGTCACATGAGCAGTAGTGGGATACTGGAACAAGGATGTGGTTATGTACATTTTGTATATGGTGCCTGATTCCCTAAAATCTCAGACCTTACATGTGAAGGAAAATTTTGTTTTTGTAATACTCATTTGCATTTTATGTCACAAAATAGGATAACAGCAGCTAATGCTAACGCTCTTAGCTCCTTTTCTTTAGTCTTTACAACCCGTGACTCACACCAGGTTTAATTATTATCTCCTCTGACTTGTGTGAGTGTCATTAACGATTATTATATACAGTGCTGACCGGGCGACTTTTATTGTTCTGATGGTGCAGAGACGTCACAGTTGGTTGAGGTCAAACGGATAGGAGAATGGGACAGAACGACCTGAGTAATCTGAATTGACGGTGGCTATTCTCTGGAAAAAGCAATAATAATGTTTTGCATTAAGTGTAGTCATCATAGATCAGCCTTTAAAATAATGTTTTTGAATAAAAGTTATTAGTTAAAAGTCAGGATTCTCATCAGTATTAAAATTTCTTCTTTATTTGTCCGTTTTTGCACAGATTTAATCTCTAAATTGCATCTTGTAATTTCATTTTTAATATTTGATGACAGCTCATACTGCAGAGAAATACTTGAACATTGTTTCTTAGATCTGTTCTTATGCATTGATTCAATTGTAAATTACCCACCGCTGTTAGATTAACCACATCTGTAAGGACAACATACCACAAAGTAAGTCCTCAAAAATGTAACTTCATGTGTACAGACTTCATGTGTCTGTCATCAGATGTAATATAATGTAACACAGATGTTAAAGCTGTAGATTCCCTTACACTGTTAATGCAAACGATGATAAACTTAAAATCAAAATGTGTCTGGTGCTTTTTATTTTTAGCAGAGTTTTTGCAGCTGGTTATGCTGAATATGATAACATAATCTTGACCTATCATTTCCCAGTGTTGCACTCTCATGGCATGTGCAGTGGTCACACCAGTGCTCCAGACCTCACTTTCTCAAATCAAATTGCTGAAGGCAGGGACCATTCTTAGCCAACAGAGAGTAGAAATTTGGTTTTCTTTACTGGTGCATGAGTAAGGTGCCCCAGGGCAATCCTGTGGCCTGCCCACCACCTCCCCCCAGCCTTGGTGCTGGTAGGCAGGCAGAGGCAGCAGCCAGCCCCAGCTGGAGGCCCTGGAGCCAATGATGCTGCTGCTGTTACTGCTGAGCCTCCGATGAAATGCAGTGCCAAGCAGGCCTTCAGTGCCCCGCTGTATTATCTAAATGGAAGGTGACTAGAGAGATTGTTTAATGACAATATTGACTCTTTAATATGCTCAGGCCATTTTAAATTAAACCTTAACTTATCTTTTACACCAAAACACAAAAGACAACTTCACATTTATCCTGGACACATCAGATATATTTTTAAAAAAAGTTGCAGCACAGCCCAAACTGTAGTGTTTTAAAGAGGCAAGGTGTAGGATTCAGTGGCATTAAGTGGTGAGGATTGCAGATTCCAACCAGCCATAAGTTCTCTTATGTGCTATGCGTGATCTCCTGGTTAGAATTCCTCAAGTGTTCATTGTTCAGGAGTTAAATTAACCACAGAGGTCTCATTTCTAAAACAATGCGTAGGATCCATACTAAAAATGTACGTATGGACAAAAAAAGCCAAAAATGGTGTGCACCGAAAAATAATGAACCAATTTCTACAATCGGGCTTCCACCTCACCATTTGCGTTGCCAATTTCCCGTCTCTAAAATGTTTGGAAGAGTGGGTCAAAGTTTCTCCCATCAAGTCTGTTTTTATACATCACAACTTTTGCGTGCGAAGTGGCGTACGCCCCTTTCAGGCCTGGTTATGTGCAGTGTTTATAAATGAGACCCCAGGTGATTCAAACTGGTAGAAACACTGAATAAAGTAGTTTCATGTTACAAATCATTGTTTCTCCAACACTGTGTGGCTCGTCGCAGACAGGCTGCTAGCCCAGCGCCTGCTAATGTGTGCTCACCTTTTTTCTCTGATAACTTAAGAGCCAGATGCTCAGGAGAGTTTTACAGGGAGCCAAGTCCTCACAGAGGTCTCTTCCTCTCCAAAACAAACAGACGAGATGATTTGAAGCAGTAAAATCACTGAATGAAGCAGTTGGGCTGCTCACTAAGATGGCAGGTGCGAAAATGTGAATGGCCCTATGTAGAGTGTCTGGTTTGTCCGTAGAAACATGGCGGACTCTGTGGACAAGTATGCACTTGCTATGTAGATATAAATGGTTAATGAAAACAAACGTATGTTCCATTTCTGCCAATATATCCTCCTAAATCCTACACACTGGACCTTTAATCAAGGTCTTTGTTCAAGTGGATGAAAAAGTCCAGCATTAGCACAGCTCGTAAATCATTGAGTTACTTGAAAGATGACTTTTGAAACGTTCAGTGAAGCAGACAGATAACTTATCCAGTTGAGCTGTATCAACTGATAGGCCCGTTATGATAATTACATTGTCAGTTCATCCAGGTTAGAGAGATCATCGAGGTCATGTCCATAAACTGTATCACATTTCCCTTGTGTTTACATGCAAGTTTGTTTACAGAAGAATATCACCAACACTTTAGTCAACATGACACCAGAATAAACAGCAGGGTTCTCCTGACTATTATAAGACTTTGACACAGTGCCTAAGCCAAATAGAGAACTATGCTGAGACACATTTTGCTGTCATTTCTGGTTGGACTGCTTTTGTCCTCTCGTCTGCTGTCTGTGTCGGAGTTTCACATTCCAATTCCAACATCTGAATAGTCTTAAGAATAGAAGTTTGATACTCTACAAAGGGTGTACACGTGTGCTACCATATTATTATCATATCAGTAGCATAAAATGGTCTATTAAACTGGTGGGTCGCGGTCCAAAAGGGGTCTCAGGTCTATTCCGAATGGACCACAAGCCACTTGTGAACACGTCCACTTTAATTTGAAGTGCTGTTTCCTGCTGTAGAGTGACTGACATACAGACAGCTGCTTGACAGAGACAGCAAACTAGCTCGACAACGTGGCCAAACTTAAGTATGACACTAAATGTATTAAACTGTGTACCTTTAACTAATGACTAAAGAGAAATCTGGACTCCATGGCTGGACCAGTTAAGAACCACTGCATTAGTGCAATCTCCCCTCAAAGCTCATTTGGTTGCAGTTCACCCAGGTGTCAGGGAATGTTAGATGCTCAAATTTCCATTTTTCTTTTTAGCTTTATGTCCATGTTGGCCTAAAAGTTTCAAATCTCACGTTTTGCCTCATGTAGTTAAAGCTATAGCTATCATGTTTCATTGTCTTCTGTCTACACTTCAGAATTGCTCTCATGTGTCTCTTGCAGTGCCACAAACGGTGTTTACAAATACGAATCATTTACGGTGACCAAATGTGTATCTGGGTGTGTGTTTTGCAGTCAAAGAGGCCTGTGGGGCCTCCAAGCTCAGACTTCTCACTAACCACCACTAGAGAGAGACAGTAAGCCTGACAAGGAGAACAAATGATAAAGTGTGGGTTCCAGACTATAATCTGAAAACATCTGATGAAAGCACTTGTTTGTAATTAGATGCTAAGATTCCTAATGCTAGCCAGAGCCGTACTGAAACTGCATATCCATCTGGGCGGTTTGAGCAAGAATCATCATAACCATTAACACACCGCAACCATTAACATGCCTCGCTCACCTCAGACTGTAATATCTGTGGACTAATGCAGCCATAAGGTTGTTTTTAGTAGTTAATATAGTGTGCACCTCTCTGCACAATGCCTGGGCGCTGATGTAAGAAGCAATTTTCGGTTTTAAATGATTTTCCTCAAGGGTTCATATGCTGAGTTTTAATATGACTCTGCTCTGAAGTTTTTTTGTGCACATAAGGGGATATCCTCCAGAGAACATAAAAGTGGCAGTCACCTCTCGTTTTCAAATTAAAGCCACACATAATTTCACTTTCACACTGAGTTCTTTGGATAAACCACCCTGCCATTTCCTCCCTGTTTGAGATAAAACACAATCAGCCTGCCTTGTGCGCCCTCCTCATCCCCCTCATGGCGATATCAGCATATATGTGCATAAATGTGTTGTCGGTTTTACCCTCCCACCTGTGCGTATTTGCATGGTTAATCTGCGCGCAGGGGGGAGAGGGCCTGATGGAGGGTAGATAGGTGCGTCTCACGGCCCCATGGGCTCTTGAGGAATTTTATTGGAGGTTCAGCTCCCAGTCAATGGGATCAGCCGTAAATCCCGCTCAGAGTGTGGCAGGAAATGATGTGACTCCGGCAATTTATGTCAAATAACTTTTGAGGATGTGTGAGTGTAGCGATCAGCGCTACCGGGGCGGCGATAACTCTTCGGCGGGGGGCCCCGGTGAAGATTTAATTGAGACATTTTTCTTTATCTGGAGCGAAGCGCCGGGGCCGTGTTGTTGTGTAACGAGATGTAATGTCTCTCTTTATACGGGGGTCAACATCCGGGATGAGGGAAGGTCACGGACTGACTGTTTGAGCATCCAATTTGCTCACGTAATACCCGCTCTACAGGGAGTAAAAACACAAAGTATTAAGTTACACAGTCCACATATCACACACAGACATGACGCCCTGTGCTGTGGAATATAATGCATCCTTATGATTTTAGATGGAGCCTGTGTGAGTCTGTGAGGAGAGAAATATCAAGGATTCTTATGTAGATGCTGAGTCTGACCTATAACATTTTTATTTGTCTCCATGGTGATAGAAGCATCAATACCACTTTCTAATAAGGCATCTTTATAAAGGAGGTGTAACTAATGTCTGTGTCTGACACTTTCTATAGATCAGTTATAATCCAGTAATAAATGCTCATTAGTTACTCTCTCTGACAGGCCAGTAAGTCTGCAGTTATAAATGTTAGGCCATTAGTAAGACTTTTAATCATCAAGTCTGCACCTGTGAATAAGTTGATGTTAAATGTATTTTGCAGTCTTTTATAACCTCTTTTCTACATGGTAAATGGTCCAAAGGGCCTGGGAGGAATTTTTCACAACCTGGCAACTCAAACATTATTATAAATGACATATAAAGCATTACTATAATATCTATTGACTACTAATAAAGACATTAGTTGCAAGCTCTTATTCCTCTATGAGTGGTGCCTAATGCATAATAGAGTATCGCAATGTAAATATTTTTGTAAGTAAAAGTGCAGCATTAAAAATGCACTTAAAATAAAAAGTACTCACATGTAGTAGTGTTCAAGATGCAAAATGGCTCCTGTCAGTATTATACTGTATATTATAATAGCCTACGGGATAATAATAGTCATATGGGATGATTATAGCAATAAGTTTTTACTAGTGTTGGTTGTACAATCTAAAACAGTGGAGCACATTTTGTGAGATGTTCATGTGTCTTGTTTTATAAAATATCAATCTGCAGTGATGGGAGAAAAATACAGATTATTTGTAATGTGCAATGGACAATGTAAAAATAGTGTTTTACAAGTAAAGTCCTGCATTCAAAGTTTTTCTTGAATTCAGAAGTACCAGCAAAATGCACTGTAAGTAGCAAAAGTAAAATTGAAGCAGAAAGACACCTGTTATAAGTGAGTTATAACTTATTTCTCTGTCAGTGGTTAATATATATATTTTTACCACTTTTCTATAGATCAGTTATAATCCAGTAATAAATACTCATTAGTTACTCTCTCTGATAGGCTAGTAAGTCTGCAGTTATAGTCTGCAGATGAATTTTTGGTTGAACAGTCTAAAACAATGGATCACATTTTGTGAGATGATCATGTATCTTGTTATATAAAATATCAATCTGTAGTGATGGCAGAAAAATACAGATTATTTGTAATGTGCAAAGTTTT